AAAATATAGTCGAGACTATACGCGAGCCTTTATACAGTTCCAAAGTCGAGTCCATAGTCAAGTTTTTAGTCGAGCCTACAGTCTATAGTAGATACTGTAGTCGAGTCCATAGTCTAGTCCATAGTCGAAACCAAAGTCGAGTCAACAGTCTTTAATCGTGTCTATGGCCGAGTCTATAGTCGACACTATAGTGGAGTCTATAGTTGAATACAAAGTCAAAACTATAGTCGAGTCTATAGTTGATTCTATGGTCAAGACTATATGCGAGTCGATATATGATTCTAAAGTCGAGGCTATAGTCGAGTTTACAGGGTATTGTCGATATTACATTTTCGAGTCTACAGTCAAGAGTCGGGTCTTTAGATTAGTGTGCCTACAGTCGATTCTATAGCTAAATCTATAGTCGAGTCAATTGTCGAGTCTACAGTCGAGTCTATTATCTAGACTATAGTCGAGTCTATAGTCTAGAATTTAGTCAGTCTAGTCTGTTCTAATTCTGTTCTAGTTCTGTTCTAGTTCTGTTCTAGTTCTGTTCTAGTTATGTTCTAGTTCTGTTCTAGTTCTGTTCTAGTTTTGTTCTAGTTCTGTTCTAGTTCTGTTCTAGTTCTGTTCTAGTTCTGTTCTAGTTATGTTCTAGTTCTGTTCTAGTTCTGTTCTAGTTTTGTTCTAGTTCTGTTCTAGTTCTGTTCTAGTTCTGTTCTAGTTCTGTTCTAGTTATGTTCTAGTTCTGTTCTAGTTCTGTTCTAGTTTGTTCTAGTTCTGTTCTAGTTCTGTTCTAGTTCTGTTCTAGTTCTGTTCTAGTTATGTTCTAGTTCTGTTCTAGTTCTGTTCTAGTTCTGTTCTAGTTCTGTTCTAGTTATGTTCTAGTTCTGTTCTAGTTCTGTTCTAGTTTTGTTCTAGTTCTGTTCTAGTTCTGTTCTAGTTCTGTTCTAGTTCTGTTCTAGTTTTGTTCTAGTTCTGTTCTAGTTCTGTTCTAGTTCTGTTCTAGTTCTGTTCTAGTTCTGTTCTAGTTCTGTTCTAGTTCTGTTCTAGTTCTGTTCTAGTTCTGTTCTAGTTCTGTTCTAGTTCTGTTCTAGTTCTGTTCTAGTTCTGTTCTAGTTCTGTTCTAGTTTTGTTCTAGTTCTGTTCTAGTTCTGTTCTAGTTCTGTTCTAGTTCTAGTTTTGTTCTAGTTCTGTTCTGGTTCTGCTCTAGTTCTGTTCTAGTTCTGTTCTGTTCTAGTTCTGTTCTAGTTCTGTTCTAGTTCTGTTCTAGTTCTGTTCTAGTTCTGTTCTAGTTCTGTTCTAGTTCTGTTCTAGTTCTGTTCTAGTTCTGTTCTAGTTCTGTTCTAGTTCTGTTCTAGTTCTGTTCTAGTTCTGTTCTAGTTCTGTTCTAGTTCTGTTCTAGTTCTGTTCTAGTTCTGTTCTAGTTCTGTTCTAGTTCTGTTCTAGTTCTGTTCTAGTTCTGTTCTAGTTCTGTTCTAGTTCTGTTCTAGTTCTGTTCTAGTTCTGTTCTAGTTCTGTTCTAGTTCTGTTCTAGTTCTGTTCTAGTTCTGTTCTAGTTCTATTCTAGTTCTGTTCTAGTTCTGTTCTAGTTCTGTTCTAGTTATGTTCTAGTTCTATTCTCGTTCTTTTCTAGTTCTGTTCTAGTTTAGTTCTAATTTAGTTTTATTAATTTTTAATACTTTGTTTGCACTTAAGGGAAAGACTCATATTATTTAAAAAAATAACTCTAAACCAGTGATATTTTAAATATAAAAATATTAATAAATTATTAAGAAATTATATACAATAAAACCTTAATATTGTTTAAATTTTTAAGAAAAAACGTATGTAACTGTCTCTTTCCCCCGGAAATGCTTAAAGAAAAGTGTTCGTTTTGTTTTGAAAATGAGAAAAATGAAGAAAAATAAATATTTGAATGTATAAGATCGAAAATTAGATTGATAATAAATTGACATAAATGATACAATAAATTACTGGTAAAAAAGCAATTAGCTAAGAGAACTAAGAAATATTTAAGAATATTTTTTGGGGCAAGATTTTTTCTAAAGAAAAGGAATTGATTGACAATGAATGACAATTGGTATGCTGAATAAAAACCTTTTTACAATATTTAAATAAATATATATATTAATGATAAATAAAGAAAAAACAATAAAAAAGAAATAAATATAAATAAATAATTAGCAAACAAATAAAATAATGTTTTTTTATTAAAAAAGGAGCGAAATTTCAAATAATTTCTGTTATTTCCAATATTTAACATTTCTTTTAAATTAAATGCATTTAGTTCAACTAAATTCTAGAACATATCTCTTTTTATTTTATCACTGAAAAATGACAAGATTTCTCTAAATTCAATTAAAATCCTGCAATTGCGGATAAATCACAAATTTTAATTTCATAATTCATAAAATTGCGTCGTAATTTTTATATCAAATGTATAATTTTATACATTGTAGATGTAATGAATGTTTTAAATCCACATAACATGAGCAGCAGGCAGCTGTAGCAGCTCATGTTTGCAACATTTTGCCATTGCCAGTCCTTGGAGACCTTCAACAGTAGTAACTAAAAACCCCTAAATAACAACAATAATCATCTTTATGGTTTTATCTTCTTCTTGTCCATATGTTAACATTGTTTTTTTTCTTCGAGCATCCAGCAGCAGCCCGGTAGAATCCTTCTTCTGCAAGGATAATGTTGATGGTATTGATATTGTTGCTTTTGCTATAATGATACTGATGTTTGGTTTTAAAAAAAATCAAATTTCTTAGGACTTTATTAACCAACATAAGCTGAAGGTATCCATTTACTGTTTGTTCTTGTTAATGCTGTGAAGTGTGTGGTTGCTAGTGCGCAGGTCCTTGATAGTAAGAGTTCTGAATATACATATGTATGTGTTGGAACTCTTGTGGGACTTGTTAAGAGAAACGGATAAAGTTAATAAAATATGAGAGAAATTTGATGCTCTTTGGGTATTTTAGAGTAGACAGTGGTTAAACCGGAATAATTTCATAAATTTATTGGAATCCCGAACAGAATTACATCAGAACTAGAAGAGAACTAGAAGAGAACTAGAACTGAACTAGAACAGAACTAGAACAGAACTAGAACCAGAACAGAACAGAACAGAACTAGAAACAGAACTAGAACAGAACTAGAACAGAACTAGAACAGAACTAGAACAACTAGAACAGAACTAGAACAGAACTGGACAGAACTAGAACAGAACTAGAACAGAACTAGAACAGAACTAGAACTGAACTAGAACAGAAACTAGAACAGAACTAGAACAGAACTAGAATGAACTAGACAGAACTAGAACAGAACTAGAACAGAACTAGAACAGAACTAGAACAGAACTAGAACAGAACTAGAACAGAACTAGAACAGAACTAGAACAGAACTAGAACAGAACTAGAACAGAACTAGAACAGAACTAGAACAGAACTAGAACAGAACTAGAACAGAACTAGAACAGAACTAGAACTAACTAGAACAGAACTAGAACAGAACTAGAACAGAACTAGAACAGAACTAGAACAGAACTAGAACAGAACTAGAACAGAACTAGAACAGAACTAGAACAGAACTAGAACATTACTAGAACAGAACTAGAACAGAACTAGAACTAGAACGAACTAACAGAACTAGAACAGAACTAGAACGGAACTAGAACAGAACTAGAACAGAACTAGAACGGAACTAGAACAGAACTTAGACACAGAACTAGAACAGACTAGAACAGAACTAGAACAGAACTAGAACAGAACTAGAACAGAACTAGAACAGAACTAGAACAGAACTAGAAACAGAAACTAGAACAGAAACTAGAACATAGACACTAGAACAGAACTAGAACATACTAGAACAGAACTAGAACAGAACTAGAACAGAACTAGAACAGAACTAGAACATGAACTAGAACTGAACTAGAACTGAACTAGAACTGAACTAGAACTGAACTAGAACTGAACTAGAACTGAACTAGAACTGAACTAGAACTGAACTAGAACTGAACTAGAACTGAACTAGAACTGAACTAGAACTGAACTAGAACTGAACTAGAACTGAACTAGAATGAACTAGAACTGAACTAGAACTGAACTAGAAACTGAACTAGAACTGAACTAGAACTGAACTAGAACTGAACTAGAACTGAACTAGAACTGAACTAGAACTGAACTAGAACTGAACTAGAACTGAACTAGAACTGAACTAGAACTGAACTAGAACTGAACTAGAACTGAACTAGAACTGAACTAGAACTGAACTAGAACTGAACTAGAACTGAACTAGAACTGAACTAGAACTGAACTAGAACTGAACTAGAACTGAACTAGAACTGAACTAGAACTGAACTAGAACTGAACTAGAACTGATCTAGAACTGAACTAGAACTGAACTAGAACTGAACTAGAACTGAACTAGAACAGAACTAGAACAGAACTAGAACAGAACTAGAACAGAACTAGAACAGAACTAGAACAGAACTAGAACTGAACTAGAACTGAACTAGAACTGAACTAGAACTGAACTAGAACTGAACTAGAACTGAACTAGAACTGAACTAGAACTGAACTAGAACTTAACTAGAACTAAACTAGAACTAAACTAGAACAGAACTAGAACTTTTTTCCACTGTCCTTTTTTATGCATTTCATGCAACAAAGGATATCCGTTACACATTTATTTTCGGTCTCTAAACCATGTCGTTCATGACGTCATAGTCTTCTGAAGGCGGTGTCGGTTTTTTCGATTTAACAAATACTCAACTTAAGGAAAAACTTAAACCAGCAACAGTTCAGGCTCATTAAAAAACAAAATAAAAACGAGCAACAAGAGAATTCATTAAAATTTGCTTTCTATACTCTTTGGAGAGTAACTTAATACAATGAATGTCTCTCACATATCCTGTGAAAGTAACCGTTAGAAAATGGTCTTATAATAGGAAAACAATAAAGAGAGCGAAGAGTATAAAAGCCCTGGTATCCTGCTAACTGTGATTAGTATCAATAACGACTTTGCTGCCGACAGCAGTAGAGAAAAATAAGAAAAAATATTTAAATAAAGAAAAGTAACAAGTTTTCAGTTTTTATTTGTAAAAATTTTAAAAAATAAACCAAAAGTTCCTTTTTGTTAAGCTAAAGCAGAAAATATAGAGAAAAAAACACAATTAATAATAAAAGGATTAGCAGTGTTTAAATTGATTTAAATAAATATTTGGATTCCATTTAAAGCACAGTGTAACGGTGCAAACGAAAACCAAGAAGGATTAAACAAGTTTTGAATTTGATTTAAAAATTTGAAAAAAAAACTTCCACTAACTTTGAGTGCATATTTATTTGTCGGGAATTGTATGCATATTTCTATTATCAGTGAGTGTTTGAAATTTAAATTGTTCAACATGCCGCCAGTTAACAACAACAAGAAGAACCTACATCCTTTGGCCGTTATCAAATTGTGTGTCCTGTTTGGCATGCTGTTGAATGTTGTAAGTTTATTTCTCCTTATATTCTTCTGTTTAACTCTAGAAAGGACTGCAGTAAATTTAGTCATTTATATTCAGTCTAAATCCTTTTGCATGTTTTCACATTCTTTCTTCAGATTATTAGTTTCTGCTAAATGTTAATAATGTTGTGATAAATAGCAACGATTGTTGCTTTTGCAACGGAAACGGAAAGTGGAAGGGCGTGTTATAAACTTAGTTTTCTTTTCATTTCAATGGTTTTAGTTTATTTTGTTGGTTTTCTACAAGTTTACTGTAAATAAGTTAAAGATTAATGATAAAATTTTAGCTTTTGTGTTTAAAGTTTTTCCTTAACATCTTTTTGTGGTGAGGGTATTAATGGCCATAAACTAAAATCTTTAGCCACAGAATATATTTTTCGTTATTTAAAAAGAAAAACTTTTTTCAATTCTTTTTGTACCTTTAAACTTAATTTCATTTACTTCATTAGATTTTGCCAAATAATTGTTGATTTTTTTTAAAAAGCTATTGAATTAAATTGTCCTTTGAAATACCTGTTAAAGTTTAATTAAAATGAAAACAGAACATTAAAACTTTGTCCTTCAAAGCTAAAGGAAGGTCCACTTATCAAGGTAATAAATTCTAATTAAAAACATTTAAAATTCTTAAGTATCATTCAAGTGTTAATAACAAAACGACAATAAAACTTTTGAAATAAATAGAAAAATAACATCTAGTTCAATTCTAGTTCAGTTCTAGTTCAGTTCTAGTTCAGTTCTAGTTCAGTTCTAGTTCAGTTCTAGTTCAGTTCTAGTTCAGTTCTAGTTCAGTTCTAGTTCAGTTCTAGTTCAGTTCTAGTTCAGTTCTAGTTCAGTTCTAGTTCAGTTCTAGTTCAGTTATAGTTCAGTTCTAGTTCAGTTCTAGTTCAGTTCTAGTTCAGTTCTAGTTCAGTTCTAGTTCAGTTCTAGTTCTGTTCTAGTTATGTTCTAGTTCAGTTCTAGTTCAGTTCTCGTTCAGTTCTAGTTCAGTTCTAGTTCAGTTCTAGTTCAGTTCTAGTTCAGTTCTAGTTCAGTTCTAGTTCAGTTCTAGTTCAGTTCTAGTTCAGTTCTAGTTCAGTTCTAGTTCAGTTCTAGTTCAGTTCTAGTTCAGTTCTAGTTCAGTTCTAGTTCAGTTCTAGTTCAGTTCTAGTTCAGTTCTAGTTCAGTTCTAGTTCAGTTCTAGTTATATTCTAGTTCAGTTCTAGTTCAGTTCTAGTTCAGTTCTAGTTCAGTTCTAGTTCAGTTCTAGTTCAGTTCTAGTTCAGTTCTAGTTCAGTTCTAGTTCAGTTTCGGTTCAGTTCTAGTTCAGTTCTATTGCTGTCTAGTTCAGTTCTAGTTCAGTTCTAGTTCAGTTCTAGTTCAGTTCTAGTTCAGTTCTATTTCAGTTCTAGTTCAGTTCTAGTTCAGTTCTATTTCTGTTCTAGTTCAGTTCTATTCTGTTCTAGTTCAGTTTCTAGTTCTGTTCTAGTTCTGTTCTAGTTCTGTTCTAGTTCTGTTCTAGTTCTGTTCTAGTTCTGTTCTAGTTCTGTTCAGTTCTGTTTCGTTCTGTTCTAGTTCTGTTCTAGTTCTGTTCTAGTTCTGTTCTAGTTCTGTTCTAGTTCTGTTCTAGTTCTGTTCTAGTTCTGTTTAGTTCTGTTCTAGTTCTGTTCTAGTTCTGTTCTAGTTCTGTTCTAGTTCTGTTCTAGTTCTGTTCTAGTTCTGTTCTAGTTCTGTTCTAGTTCTGTTCTAGTTCTGTTCTAGTTCTGTTCTAGTTCTGTCTAGTTCTGTCTAGTTCTGTTCTAGTTCTGTTCTAGTTTGTTCTAGTTCTGTTCTAGTTCTGTTCTAGTTCTGTTTCTAGTTCTGTTCTAGTTCTGTTCTAGTTCTGTTCTAGTTCTGTTCTAGTTCTGTTCTAGTTCTGTTTAGTCTGTTCTAGTTCTGTTCTAGTTCTGTTCTAGTTCTGTTCTAGTTCTGTTCTAGTTCTGTTCTAGTTCTGTTCTAGTTCTGTTCTAGTTCTGTTCTAGTTCGGTTCTAGTTCTGTTCTCGTTCTGTTCTAGTTCTGTTCTGTTCTAGTTCTAGTTCCAGGTTCTGTTCTAGTTCTAGTCTAGTCAGTTCTAGTCAGTTCTAGTTCAGTTCTAGTTCAGTTCTAGTTCAGTTCTAGTTCAGTTCTAGTTCAGTTCTAGTTCAGTTCTAGTTCAGTTCTAGTTCAGTTCTAGTTCAGTTCTAGTTCAGTTCTAGTTCAGTTCTAGTTCAGTTCTAGTTCAGTTCTAGTTCAGTTCTAGTTCAGTTCTAGTTCAGTTCTAGTCAGTTCTAGTCAGTCTAGTTCAGTTCTAGTTCAGTTCTAGTCAGTTCTAGTTCAGTTCTAGTTCAGTTCTAGTTCAGTTCTAGTCAGTTCTAGTTCAGTTCTAGTTCAGTTCTAGTTCAGTTCTAGTTCAGTTCTAGTTCAGTTCTAGTTCAGTTCTAGTTCAGTTCTAGTTCAGTTCTAGTTCAGTTCTAGTTCAGTTCTAGGTCAGTTCTAGTTCAGTTCTAGTTCAGTTCTAGTTCAGTTCTAGTTCAGTTCTAGTTCAGTTCTAGTCAGTTAGTTCAGTTCTAGTTCAGTTCTAGTTCAGTTCTAGTTCAGTTCTTAGTTAGTTTCAGTTCAGTCAGTTCTAGTTCAGTTCTAGTTCAGTTCTAGTTCAGTTCTAGTTCAGTTCTAGTCATTCTAGTTCTAGTTCAGTTCTAGTTCAGTTCTAGTTCATTCTAGTTCAGTTCTAGTTCAGTTCTAGTTCAGTTCTAGCTTCAGTTCTAGTTCAGTTCTAGTTCAGTTTAGTTCAGTTCTAGTTCAGTTCTAGTTCAGATTCTAGTTCAGTTCTGTTCAGTTCTAGTTCAGTTCTAGTTCAGTTCTAGTTCCAGTTCTAGTTCAGTTCTAGTTCAGTTCTAGTTCAGTTCTAGTTCATTTCTAGTTCAGTTCTAGTCAGTTCTAGTTCAGTTCTAGTTCAGTTCTAGTTCAGTTCTAGTTCAGTTCTAGTTCAGCTTCTAGTTTCAGTTCTAGTTCAGTTCTAGTCAGTTCTAGTTCAGTTTCTAGTTCAGTTCATAGTTCAGTTCTAGGTTCTAGTTCTTAGTTCAGTTCCTAGTTCAGTTCTAGTTCAGTTCTAGTTCAGTTCTAGTTCAGTTCTAGTTCAGGTCTAGTTCAGTTCTAGTTCAGTTCTAGTTCAGTTCTAATTCATTCTAGTTCAGTTCTAGTTCAGTTCTAGTTCAGTTCTAGTTCAGTTCTAGTTCAGTTCTAGTTCAGTTCTAGTTCAGTTCTAGTTCAGTTCTAGTTCAGTTCTAGTTCAGTTCTAGTTTAGTTCTTGTTCAGTTCTAGTTCAGTTCTAGTTCAGTTCTAGTTCAGTTCTAGTTTAGTTCTAGTTCAGTTCTAGTTCAGTTCTAGTTCAGTTCTAGTTCAGTTCTAGTTCAGTTCTAGTTCAGTTCTAGTTCAGTTCTAGTCAGTCTAGTTCAGTTCTAGTTCAGTTCTAGTTCAGTTCTAGTTCAGTTCTAGTTCAGTTCTAGTTCAGTCTAGTTCAGTTCTAGTTCTGTTCTAGTTCTGTTCTAGTTCTGTTCTAGTTCTGTTCTAGTTCTGTTCTAGTTCTGTTCTAGTTCTGTTCTAGTCTGTTCTAGTTCTGTTCTAGTTCTAGTTCTGTTCTAGTTCTGTTCTAGTTCTGTTCTAGTTCTGTTCTAGTTCTGTTCTAGTTCTGTTCTAGTTCTGATCTAGTGCTGTTCTAATTATGTTCTAGTCCTGTTCTAGTTCAGTTCTAGTTCAGTTCTAGTTCAGTTCTATTTCTCTTCTTATATTCTAGTGCATACTGTTGTAGTTCTGTTCTAGTTCTGGTTTAGTACTGATCTAGTTCTGTTCTACTCTAGTTCTTTTGTTGGTATTAAACAAGCCTGCAAATATGCTTCAGTTTTTTGCATTTAGCTTTTGTGTAGTTTTATATGTAGGAAAACTCTGGGAATATTTGCAAAAAAAGTCTAAAATTGATTTTTTGTAATTTATCTTTGAAAAAATTAAAATTTTTATGAAGATAAATAATATTTATAAATTTTTATTTAATAAATCTTAGGCAAAAGGAAATCTAAACACATATAATTTTATATTAAAAACTTTTATTGAGCCCTGAAAAAATTAAATATTGCCTTTAACGTCAAACGACATCTCCATTTTATTGCCGTCAATAAAGTAAATAGCTTATTATTTCTCCTCAAGGCTTTTTTTACACAATTTCAATTACAATTTTATCCCTTGTTTCTACAACTGATATTGTTTACTTTGGATTTAGTACAACCAGGGTAATAATGAAACTAAAACAATTCATGGTCAAGGACTTTTAAAGCCAACAATATGACATCTAACGAGTTTTTAGCTATAATTTGTAAAGGATTTTTTTAGAGAAGACAAGCTATTATTGTTAAATGTCGAAGAAAACTAATTAAAAATGATGTATAAGAAAGAAATAAGAAAAAAAGAAGTACTTTTTATATTTTTTCTATTCAACAAGTTTTAGCACGCGCGGTTTTTATATTGAAATAGATGTAAAATTAAATAAAAAAATGTCATTGTCTTTGGTAATTAAATTATACAAATGGAACGTTTTGCTTAAAATAAACAAAAAAGGATTTATTACATCACAAAACACACAGAAAGAGAGGCCATTTGTGTTTATAGCAAAAGGGTTTAGAAATTTCTTAAATAAAATGATTTTTAAGAAAAGACCAAGAATTTCTAATAAAGTCATGATTACAATTTTGGGTTATAAAATTATGTCATTAGGAAAGGAAGAAAAGTAAAATAAAGAAAGAACATTCAAAAGAATTTTGTTATTAAGAAAATAAATGAATAAATTAGAAGAATAGAAAGTAATTCAAGTGAAGGAAATAATAATTATAATGAAATTAAGCAAATACAAAGAATGAATTGTATTCATTTTGATTTACAAAAGTTTTGTATAAATTAAACATCTGTTAGATGACAAAATTAATATTACTCATACGCAT